CTGGGCTTGGCCACTCCAGCCGGTCGGAGTTCTCCTTCTCCCGCACCCCCTCGTTGACCTGGGAGCACAGCTCCTCCGCCTTCTCCAGGGCGAGCCTCAGGTGGCTGTGGTCGGGGTGGTTCTCAGGCGTGTTCTCCAGGATCTGCAGGGGCGACCGGAGCACAGTGGGGGGGGGGGGCACCCATGTTCTCTGTCCTGAGGGCTAGGACAGCAGAGGCGCCAAGCGGGGAGGGCATGGCGGTGCGGCCACTCCCTGCTGGCAGGGCCCCTTGGGGGACGGGGGATGGGGGCATGGGGCTGCCCCATTACTTACACTTGGGGTGGGAGGGGGTCGTGGCACCAAGCCTGCACTAGGGACAGAATCAAGGTCTCAGCTCTCACTCCCAACGTTCAAGGTCAAAGCCACTTGGTGGCTCGGCTGAAGGTCGAGTATTATTAGCTCGTTCGGGATAAACAGCTGCTCTCTCCGGGACAAACAGCGCAGATGCTCCAACCCCTGTTGGTGCCCGATTCCACCCACGGTCAGGGGGGCGCCGGCCGGACGCCGTGGCCCTGGCGCCGGGGTGAGGAGCCGGCCGCCCGCGGAAAGGGGGCGCACTCACGTTCTTGATGATCAGCGGGTATCTGGTCACCCGCTGCATGGGCTTCAGGATGAAGCTGGAGAGCGGCATCCCTTTGCAGCGCGGGTCCATGGCCAGCCTCTGAGGGGAGAGGGTTCCTTAAGGCGCTGCTGCTGATTCACCCGAGCAGCCGCGGGGAGGGGGGCCGCGCCCGGCCGTCCCGGGGCCAGGACCTGCACCGGGGGCGACTCAGCCACCAGGTGCCTCCCAGGGGCTCGCGGTTCCTCACTCAGGGAGGAGATGAGAGACTTTTCTCCTGGATATTTGCAAAAATTCCCGACCAGTCCCCAGTGCGAGGTGAATAAAAATGCCCCGTCGGTCCCAGGACACCGAGGGCTGTGCCGCCGGCTGTGCGGTGAAGCCTGCCCACGCCAGGGGTCAGGGGTCAGGACTCCGGCTTCGGGGCCTGCGGGTGTCTCCCCCACGGACTCCCCACCTCTTTCTTCCGTCCCTTGTGCCAATTCTGCCCATTTATCTGGAGGAAAGTGTCTTTCTGTCCCCCAAAGTGATCCTCTCCACAGTCACGGGGGGCGGGGGGGTGGAGAGG